ATTTTGTACACACACACACACACACACACACACACACATATATATATATATATATATATATATATAATATCTCAGTGATGCATGCAGTTGAGATTAATGGCTAATTTAACTTAAATCATTAAATAACCTTTTATAAAATGCAAATTTTATAAACTTATTATTGAATCATCTGATATTATTTTGGTGTTTGTGTGAATATTAAAGTTAAGGTAGAGCAGACACTCACAAGTTCTAATTTCATGGTTGATATTTACTTATATTTTGAAAGTATATTATTGTTAAAATGAGGGTACCAAAACCATAATGTTGCTGCCTCATGGCAGGATTGAATCTTGGGAATAATCTCTACACTTGTAGGGTAAGGTTGCTACGTTACCCTTCCCATATCCCACTAGGTGGGAGCGTCATGCACTAAGTCGCCCTTTATTGTTTTCTAATTAGATTAATGAGGTTCCACTTGATTATGAAATTCTACAAAAGCTATTTAGTGGAGTTGGTGGATTCTCAAACATACATATATAATTTTATTTCTGAAGCTGCTTCTTTATAAGTTGTCTTCATACACTCCCCTCCTTGCTTTGAAGTTGATGGCATGCCATGATTTCATTAGCTTCAAAAGGGTATATCATATATATAAATGTATAACGCTATTCAGTGTATGTCACTTCTCACTTCTCTATCAATTCCTTTTTATCCTTGTCAAAATCACTTACGGAACTTAGTTGTCATCATTTTTGTGAAACCTCACTCATAACATCTGCTCTTTATTTTTATTTTTTTTTATCAGTTTCTACAAATGCAGCTTTGATCCAGTACATGGAGGAGAGATGGTGCGGCAGGAGCATGTTCGTTTCCTAAAATTGTGTGTTCATCATCACCGGCAATAAACCCTTCTCATTTTGTGTAAATATGATGCCTCCCCGTATTGTAAGATCCTTTTGGGGTAACCATGTTATCGGTGGTATTAGAGGATCTGGAGATGCATTGTTGTATATCTTGTATATTGTGGGGAAAAAATTGAAATTGAAAGGAGAAATGCCGATAGCAACACAAATAAATCAATTACTGCATATATCTTACATTTTACATCATAGTCGCATGAGAAGTTTTGCCGGAGTATATTATCATGTTTCATGGGTATATTCATGTCACATCTATCAGCTAAGGTTGCGTTTAGGACACCTCAATAGTATTTCATTTAGATAAGGTCTGATAATACAAAGAAACTGAAACTTATTTACTATCATACATTTTGTAGAGTGTAAGTAACATGATATTATACATTATTCTCCCCCGACAATCCTACCCTTCAACATAGAAAAAACGAAAAAATAAAATACAAATTGTCATGGTTAGCCTTCGTCATGAAAGCAAACTATCCTCTTTATAGAGGCGAAAAAGAGCAGCTTCGATTGGTTTTTTGAAATGGAGTTGAAGAAGAATCAGCATAACCCGTAACACTAGAGAAACCCATTTTTATGCTCTAAGCATAATCTCCGATGATGCAATTCATTGGAGTTGTATAACTTTATCATTTATAATTTATATATTGATTTTTCCTATGACAAGTTAATATATATATATATATATATATATAGTTAATCACCTATACATTATTAGTATAAAAAATTTTTACACTGACAAACAATCATATCTTCTAATAATGTCATGTCATTTACTTATTTAATGAAATAAAAATAAAATAAAATAATTTAAAAGATATGATTAGTTTCCAGTGTATGAATGATTAACTCAAATATATATAGGAGGGATCTTTTTACTCCAGGAGTAAGTCTGCCTAGACTTCATCCATTTAATAACTCATGTTTTATATCAAATTTCAACGGTCCAATCATTCAATTTCAGAGAGAAAATTGATGACATCAAATAAGTTTGGGGGAGTTGAAGAATGGGGAATTTTGGGAAGAAGAAAGTATGTGGTCAGCCATAAAAAAAAAACAAAAACAAAAAAAAACAAAAAGGCTAATGGCTTGGATTCGGTAAAGGGCATGTGCCAAAATGTGTAATGGGGTATGGAGAGGGACATCATTGTAAAATCTTATTTGCTCTCTTAAGCTATAGCACCTTCAATCCTTGAAAAACCATAAAACTGCTACTGCTTGACCCAGAATTGCCCTAATAAAGACCTTGTGATAAGTGTCTGCATTTGTTTTACCACTGGTTTCATTTGGAAACGAAGAGCAAAGTTGAATTATGTGGCGTGAGTAGTAGACTAGAGAGAAACACTCACCCTGATACACTAGTGTGCATAGAGAGAAACA